GGTGAGATACAAGGGCTGGGCTATGCTCTGTCAGCACCCGGTGCCGCGTGGTGCCTTACGTTTGTTCTTGGTCTGCTTGGAAATCGCACACTGGATTTCACAGGTCAGAGCATTAAGCTAACTAGGAGTTTCCTTAGTGCATGGCCTTGGAAACGATCATGTGGAAATCATTTATAACTGTGGTGAGCGTTAAGAAATGAGACCTTGTTCGAGTAAGGCCCTTATTCGATTGTTTGGCAGAAGGAGTCGGCACTTTTTGGGGATGGGGTGGTGCTAAAAACGTTCTTTTCAAACACAGGTGAATGTACAGTACAGATAAGTGAATGATACGTATTTTACTGATTGGCCATACTAACACAATGGCATAGTTGACTGACGCCGTAGATGTGAGGGGGCAAAATGAACTAAAATTCCGTGTCACCTATCACGTATTGCACTCACCTTTCGGTCCTGGACCTGTTGGAGTGACAGCTGTCGGTCTTAATCCTGACGAATCGAAAAAATCTCACATTTAATGATTGATCCTGTATAAGTTATTCAAAGCATTATTAACTGCCTTAACGCTCAGAACATCTGGAGTTCGACTTTAGATGCTCCGAGCCAAGCATGTCATGGGTCTCTCCACAGCTAGGAGGTCTTGAGTTAGATTCGCCCAAGGGTCGTGACATGAAAATTTTGGATCATTACACGTTTCTGGGAAACTGCCCACCTACCCCTCCCCTAACCCAACATTTTGCCCTAAGTGAGAAGTAAGAGTTAATGTTGGCTTAGGGGAGGGGTAGGTGAGCAGTTTCCCAATATTTCCTTCAGTCAGTGGTTTTCAAAATACATGAATGTTCCAATATTTGAATTCATTAGTAAAAGCGATTAAGTTTGAAAAGAACGCGAATACATTTTTGTAGTAAAGTTTTAATCGTCGCTGTCGTCTTTTTTAAGGTTCGTATTATTGGGTTGACGCGCTAAAGGGGTGGGGGGAGGGGGACCGTTGCGTGGCGACGCAAATAACGGCAGCGTAAGGGGTTTCCACAGCACGGTAAATTTCAGGAACACCAACCTGTACATCTGGTTTGACATTCTATTCCTGTAGCGTACAAGTTTTCATTGCCAAGGCAACCTCCAAACTTGAAGGGTCTGCATTGTTTAAGATTGGTGTCAAAGTAGTATCTCACTTCTGCATTAATACACTGATCAGAATTCCACAAATTTTGGCATATATTTGGCTCTGAAAAATAAAAACAAAACGGAGAATAAATTCCTAGTGACTAGACCCTTCCTGGCTATTTAATCGAAAACAGTTATATCCGCCAAACTAATGTATTTTTAATATTTATGTCGTCTCTCTTACAGTATCCTAAAAATATCGATATACAATCGAGAGAAAATGTTAAGATTATTGATGAAATGATGACCAAAGGGAAAATGCTCTGATCTATCAAATTCTCTCAACCTTTTCTTCAAGGAAATGTATGGAGATCAGTGTGGAGAATTTGTTTGTGAATAATGAGGTTTAAGGGATAAAATGGGTCCTTATTATATGGGTTGGACTATACAAGTAACTTACCACAAACTTGCTCGCAGTTCTTTCTTGAATAGAAATGGGACAAGTTCCGGTAGCTGCAGTGAGCCAAGACCTCCTTTAAGAAGCTTATACATGGGGAGCTCTGCTCATTAACAGAAGCTTTGTTTACTTCCTGTTGAACGTCAATTTGACAGGGTCCTTCTGGCTTTCCAGTGTTGCATTGGGATACTGTCATAAGAGATCAAAACATGACAAAAAGAAATCAGGTACCTCTTAGTCTTGACCCGAGATTTTCGCAATCAAGAAGTTATTGACTATTAGTGCGATTTTCAAGGGAACATTCAGTGCAATATGTTTTGATTTTTTTTATGTAAAGTTACAGTGAACGCTGAAACTGTCAAATAATTGGGAGCATTGCTCAGCTCCTTCGGAGCGCTCTTTGTGGCGTCACGTGGGAAGAGGCGATGCGACAGCGTGACAAACAAACGAAGAATTTTAGCTTGATATTTGCGCACTCAAGAAGTCATCGCTACTGACTAGCCGTGCGTTTTTCAAGGAAACATTTAGTGAAATATTTTCTGAATTTTCTTACTTAAAAATTACGCTAAATGCCGAAATTGCCGTCTCCTACGAAGCACTCTTTGTGTCGTCACGCAAGGTTTCATCCCACCTGGGAAGAAGTAATGCGTAACAAACAAAACAAAAGCTGCGGAGGGGACTGGCGCATTGAATTATTGTCCCAAGGACGTTTTTTGACCATTGAAGTTTTCCTGTCTTACCTATGCCGCAGTAAGGTCCTGAATAACCGGCAGCGCAGCGACACTGACTATTAACACAGGTGCCACCATTAAGACAGTCTGGTTTGCAGGTAGCTGAAAAATAACAAAGCCAATCAAGTGTCAGTTTTCAGGGCCCAGTTGTTCAAAGGCCGATTAGCGCTTAACCCGGGGTTAAAGTTAACCCGGTCCCCTTTTTCTTATGTTCAAAAGTATTTTCTCGGATAATTTTCTGTGTTATTTTTAGAGCTTCCAATCATCACCTTGTAGACAAAAAGAATTAAAACTGAAATGCTTTTTAAGCCTTGAAATCTGAATTCAAATCTCGCACTAACCCTGGGTTATCTTTACCCAGCTTTGAACAACTCGGCCCAGAAGTATATTTTTCGATCCTAGGGAGATAAGTCAGCGATACTTCATGACGCTTAGATGATCCCCTTAAATCGCGCCGCACGAAAAAGAGGATGTATTGAGATAAAACACCGTATGACCCTAGGCAACCAATCGTTCATAGGACATGATGACGTCATTTACTACTGCGACCAGAATCCTTCAGGGTTTTGGTTACTTATGCAAACTAGGGCTTTTGTTATCTAAACCTCGCTGGGATTACCAAATTTAAATACGAAAGAGAAAACGATAAGGATTCTATGGTCGTCGTAATAAAATGTGGCCATCGTGTAAATGGCCTAATCAAAGGAGTTTAAAAATGGCGCTCTTATGGTATGCAAATTAAAACAGTACGCTTCTCTTTAGGTGAAACTTCCACACAAATACTGACTTGTTTGCGTGAATAGGGCTGTGAAGACCTCGACTCTTAAAAAATATTAAGCCGCTGGTATATAACCTGTAGGTACTTACAAATTTCACACCACTGTCCAGAATATCCCGGTTGGCATTGGCACTTGTTTGGAGCAATGCATTTTCCACCATTTTGACAGAATTTCTGGCAAACAGCTGTAGAAATAGACAAAGCAAGTGACCGATTATACGTCAGTTATTTATTATATATAAAACAAAACTCAGCAGTGATTTTCTAATTTCCTGTCCCAAGACCCTGACGCAAAAGTCTCCAAGGGCGCAAAAATATTTAACGCCATCGTCCGTTAGGGTGCTAAGAACAATCGAGCGACCTAAAGATGATTTTGAAGAAGTATCCTGTTTGTGACTTTCAATTTGTACTAAAAACGTATTTTATGTCGAGAGAGCAGTGTTATCTGCGGTTAAAAAAGGGTCCAGAAGTAATAAATTCTGATCGAATAAATGGAGGGATCCCACGAAAATATCCCAATAATATCATCGGTTTTCGACTGGAACTCAATGATTTTGCACTGGGACTCACGACTTTTCATGAAATGAGTCCCAGGACTCACCATAGCAATTTTTAACAAAATCACTGCACTCAGTGCCAATAGCGGAAGTGTATACTCACGTTGGCCACAAGAAATATTCCTGTACCCGGGCGGGCATTGACACTGGTTGGGTTTAACGCATGTTCCACCGTTTTGACAAGGGATCTTACAAATGGCTGCATGAGATAAGAAAATAGTGGGTTATGCACATCTACTGTCAGTCTTATGTCTCAAAACTAGGGTAATCAATGGTCTGTATAATCTTAGACCTGCACCAGAACGCACTACCAAACATAAGACTTAACGGACTCGAGATATTGTAAACTTTCGGTTCTCTGAAGTGCCTCGTAGTGGTAGTCCTTTCTAGATTTGGCATTGTCACTTGTCGCTTAAGCTTATCATGTGTATGGCAACTATTGCTAAAAAATTATTTATCTTGTATTCGATCTCTTTTCTATAGGTAAGGACTTGTGTGGATTTTGAATCGCCCGAACTAAGAGTATTGTTTAGGATAGCAAGGTGTACCTAAGTGAAACGTTCTTAATTGACTTTGTTGTGACGAAGGCGTTTAGATAAACCTATCAGAAGTCAAAACAAATAATAGTAAAAGTTCGCAAATTGTCCTTAAACCTTCTTACCTGTTTGACAGTAGTTTCCTTCATAAAGCCCTTGACTACACTGACACTTGGAATTTACACAAGTGCCACCATTTTGACAAGCTGGTACACAAACGCCTAGAAAAGTAATATATAACATGAACTTAAGTGAACACGAAACTACAGCACCACACAATCCTAATCTAGTCTTCGGAAAGCGAGATCTCCTGTGTAGTATTGTTCGTTGCCATGCGTTTTTTTACAGACAGGATTTTCCGGCGAGGAGTTCATATTACGCTCTTAGGGTGTGTAATTTTATGGTAATCTGTATTTATCAAGCTATTTCTTGCAGAGTACTAAAGTGATGACGTCATAAAAATGAAATTTCTGAAATTATGGGATTTGTCAGGATATTCTGAAAGAACAATGTCCAAGAGGCCTACTTGCTAAAAATGAGCATTTGGGGGCAAATTGTCTCTGAGATCGTAGCCCAGTTATACTCAGAAAACTCCATACAAACCCTTCTAATTTTTTTTCAGGTCGACCCCAAAAAAATTTAGAAGGGTTTGTATGGAGTTTTGTAAGCATAACTGGGCTACGATCTCAGCGACAATTTGCCCCCAAATGCTCATTTTTGGCAAGTAGGCCTCTTGGACATTGTTCTTTCAGAATATCGTGACAAATCCCATAATTTCAGAAATTTCATTTTTATGACGTCACACTTTAGTACTCTATTTTGTCAAGAGTTAGAACTCCCTGAAAATACCATCAGTGAAAGCAACAACTAGATTTTAAAATTGTTAGTTACTTCAAAAAATGCAAAATACGAGCACCACGTGAAAGTACCATTGAAGATATCAGGATTTCATCCACGGACTGACGAATTAGAACCACACTGTACGTGCTACAAAATGGTTCCATGTGAAAGTATTGGTGAAGAGGTTTCATTTGAAGGGTATCAATGTAGGATTCCATCCAGAGATTCAGGAGTTAAAGAACTAGGTCACATATCTCTACAACGGACTTGGAAGGCAGGAAGGCATAAAGGCATAAATGTGACACTTGAAGCATTCTTGAGTTATATATTTATATACCCTTTTCACACACATGACGTCACGGCGGCCATATTGGTGTCCCAAACCAATGAAACGGCGGCCATGTTGATGCTAAAAACCAATCCTATGGGAGTTGAACTCTTTTCGAATGTAAACGCTTTCTTTTGTTGCAGTTAATTGCATAGCTGAGTGCCACTTGAGTGAAAACGTTCTATAAATTTCAACAACAGTGTAACTTACTTGGACAAGGTTGGACATTACAGCTTTGGGTCTCAATCTCTGGACCAAGTCCTTGATCAAGACAGGATTTCCCGCCATTCTGAGGTGGAGGATTAGTGCAGGAGCGATGGCGTGTTTGGGTTCCTCCTCCACAAGTTGCTGTGCATTCTGACCACTGACTCCACTCGGTGTATTTTCCATCAACTATCAAAGAAAACGTTTGTCCAGATGAGTTAACACAAGCCTGGAAAAAAGGCTGACAAGGAAAACCATACAAAAAAAAAAACTCATGTGCAATTGTCAAGTGAGTGAATCAAAAACAAAAATGTGGACAGGATGTGAAAAGTTGGTGACAGGCATCTTTTGTTAGTCCGTTTTTAAAAAAAAGTAGGTTAAGACATATACTGCTTTAGATATTTTGTATCCCTGAAAAACGAACACTTCTCTAATGAGGGCTATTGGCTATGAATTTAGTGCCACCGCTTGGCAGTAAATTACTGAAGGACATTATAGGTGACGATTGTAAATCTATTTAGAACTGGTTAAACCGTTAGGAGCCTGCGGGTCACGAAACGGACACCACACGATCTCTTGTTTCCACACCAAAGTGCTTAAGGCAAAATTACGTATCAAATTGTATCAAAGTATCAAATTACTCATTTTAGATCAACAGTCAATACATAATTCTAAAACTGTTACTTTCCTACCTTTCACTCCTGGGCACGCTTGCGGGTTGCAGACCTTACTTTCCATGTTCCCGCCAATTGCAGAGCAGTCTGTACCGCCATTGAGTGGTTCAGGGTTTGTGCAGTTTCTTGTCCTTACTTGATTACCACCTCCGCAAGTCACTGGACATGAAGACCACTGACTCCATTCATTATAACCTCCTGGAACTGCAAAATGAAGAAGAAATTACGGTCTGGTTCACTGCGCATTTTGGGAAGTATACAGGTCAACGTTTCCCAATTGACACCTTAATATTTTTCTTTTAGAAAGACCTGGATTTCGGAAGACGACATGACCAATTCCGAATAATAAAATTTGATGTTAAAAATATTCCAAAGAGTGTCTAGTCCACAGCACAGTTGATAAAGTCCTATGGTTATGAAGCCGGCCGGGGCAGACTTCCTTGCTATACGCTTTTTTATATATCTTATTGCATACCTGGAGAGGGACACATGGGGTCAGGTTTTCCTCCAGCTGGAGCTATAAAGAGAAAAAGGAAGTGAATAAAAAATTAAACGAACAATATCAAACACCATTGAAGAATGCTATTCACAGAAAGTAACTGCAGTGGAAACTAATTAACTTGATATGGCAGGGTGCCAAGAAAACAAAGCAAACAAGGTCTGTTTTCTGCTTGCTCTATAGAATCGTTTTATTACTTAGGCTTAGTCTGGGATGTCGAAGTCTAAATCTGCAGAGCATCTTTGTCATTTGAACACAAAGATGCCATCGGTCTCGCATTCTACTCTCAATGTGCCACTAAATTATGGCAGGTACAACAATTCAAAATTTTCCTAGCCTTGTAGAATAATAGTCAAGTATTGAATTCTGAACTTTGCTCCTGTTATACAGGCGCATGCTTAGATTCTGGCTGCACGAACTAAACAAAAACGTGGCGAAGCCCAAGTACAGGTTACAACAACGTCTTATCAAATCGAATTCTTCAAGTATGCACACCATACCTTGCAGCATAGTCGAAGACTCTTTAACCCAGTACCAGATAATGCCTGGGTTCTCTGAATCACCACTTGTCCAGTGAGCTGGATGATATTCAGCGGCTTGAGACACCACCGTCCCAAATGTGGTGCCACTTTTACAGTCACAAGTTGATAGCAGTAAGTCACCATCAGAGGGCAGATATGGCATACGCTTACCAATACCTTTGTCGCCCTCGGGCCATGAACCAAACTTCTGCACAACACTTACATCATTGAGCGCGCAATTTGAGGAGGTGAAGCTAACAAAGGGGGAAACAAGAAAAATATCAATACAAGAATAGTGTGGCAACGTCTTATCCACCATTCTCAAAATAAAACTTTTGAAATATTAAAGGACAGTTAGGCTGTTTCCGCCGAGAAAAGCACAGGCACACCAAGCATTAAAAGGAAGCAAGCAAACAAACAAACCTGTAACTTTCCGGTGCCTGATAGATGGCACCGTTGCTACCCCTCTCTCGTGCTTCCAGTCGATAAAGGAAGTATGGACTGATAGCAATGGACTTGATTGTATCACCCTCGTCCAACAATGAGTAGTCCTTGGTAAGAGAAGGCTCAGCTATGTTTCTAAAGAAAAAGCATATCACATTCTTCAGGGCAGAACACGATCAAAAGCGAAATTGAAATAGCTTCCGTTTATTTGGATTGTGAACAATTCAGCGGATAAGGATTCCTATACTGTGAATTCTTATAAACTTTTCGCCGGGTTGTACGATTCAAATAAAAAATCAAAGAGAATCCAACATGTGAGATCGTTTCTTTCCGAAAAAAAAAACAGTCACAAGTAAAGAATACTGTTGGAAAGTTTTCACAAAATTAATGACATCGAACGGAACAAGCAGCCAAAGAGCTACAAGCGAGTTGGTCATTAATGTCCTAACCACACTTTGTCGTCTACAACTAAAAAGCCCGAATTAATTTAGTCCAAACAATATCACGACAGAAAAACAACTTGACACTGTTTCATTAACACTTTTCGTCTTTTTACCATCATTCTACAAAAACCTTTTCAATTTCTCGGTTTCTTTCCTTCCTGTCAGCAGATTTAGTACCACTCTTTTTGCAGTTTTTTTCTCGCACAATCTTGAATAAGCTCGTCCACGAACTTATCATCCATAAAAGATAAGATCATTCTTACCTGCTTTTGACATTGTCTTTTGTCCAGCCCTTGTTGCTCGCACTGGTGACCAACAGTGTCCATCCACCACCATCATGTGTCATATCGCAGAATACCTTGACTGTTTCTGCTGCGTTTGGCTTCTGCAAGAAGATGGTATACAAGCCGTCTGTTTTGCTGTTGCAGCGTTCTGCAAACTCACGACATGAGCGAATTGGAACTAAAAAGAAAAAGAAAACGGAAAAGAAAAAACTTATATTACTATGTTTGAAAGTACCATTATGGTATAAACTAAGTTCCAGTTGATTAATCGAGAAAATTGGATGCCAATAGGTTTTGCTTGCAGAATGTGCGCTAACAATTTTCCCCGAGTACACTGTAGCTGTTCGCGCATTGTAAGATGGTTTGTGTATTGGCAAAAGTTAAGATATCCATTGCCTCAAACAAACAAACATTTTTGTGACCTTCCAAGATGGACACTGTTCACCCCCTTGATGAAATTTAGTTTAACACTGATTGTCTGAAAGTGCAACAAACAGATGTAAATTATTTAAGGTGGGATATTTTCCTCAAGTGTGTTAAACTTGTGAGAAACTTTTAACACCACGACACTTACTCTTAGGTTTAGGACAAGGCTCTGAGTTACATTCCTTAATTTCCACAGGCTTTCCTTCACATGACTTCCCACCATACAGTGGTATGGGGTTTGTGCAAGTGCGTGATCTTGACGAGATTCCACCACCACAACTTGATGTGCACTCGGTCCAGTTGCTCCAGGGGGTGAAGCCACCATTCACTGGCAAGAATGAGAGCAAGAAACGTTATCAACAAAATGCATTGCTAGTACAGCTACAGTGCAAAACTATCTGGAGGGTATAACAACCTGGGACCTCTGAATTAAGGTTTACATGTAACTGATCTCCTTACAATCTGCAGGTGCAAATACTTTGCATCAAGACAATGTTATTGTGCCACTTGGACTCACCAAATTATACTAAATCACTTATATGACTACAGACAAACTGGACTTCACCAGCCCAATTACCTCTATAAATTGTGAAATAAATAGTCATGTACGTACAAAATTGAAAGAACACATACCTGGGCATGGCAGTGTGTTACATGGTGACACTTGTTTGGCATTATTGACCATCTTGAATTTTTCACCACCACCACATGTCTTGGAACATTCAGACCAGCCAGTTTCTTAATAAATTTTTTTTAAAAATTGTTCAGAAAAATATTAACAAAAGAGCAGGGTTTGCAAATCAATGAGTCAGACAGTACATTTGTAAATGTGAATTACTGATGTCATTCTTCCTTCTCCACCAGAATGTTTGTGTGAAAGGAAGATATGGTGTTGTTGTTCAAGAGCTGTGCTGTAATGGGCCCCATGTAAAGTTACTCTACTTTGCTATTAAAATGGCTTACAGTACTTGGAACTTCTTTAAATAAAGCCAGGTGTTGATGGTCACTTACAGTTCACAAAGATATGAAATTAACAGTTGCATAGACAAATGAGTACACTTACCATTACCTCCTGGTGGGCACACTTGAAGGTAGCATTCTTTGCTCTCAAAAGGTTCTCCTAAGGCGGAACAATCAGCTCCTCCAAACCTTGGTGCTGGGTTGCTGCAGTCCCTGATCCTGTTCTGTTGTCCTTGGCCACAGGTGACACTGCATTTAGTCCACTCTCCCCACAGTGAATAGCCACCATTAACTAAACAATAAAAATGTGAAACAGACAAGGAGTAAGGTATACAGATCAACATACAAATAGTAAAGTAAATAAATTATACTTTTCAGTTTCAATACAACTTTTCTTCTGATCCATTACTTCGTCTGTTATGAGTAGTCGTAACTAGTAAACTTGTTGTAAAAGTACATGTAAAACTACATTTGGGGCTACAAAATTTAAACTATTACCAGGGCATGGATCATTCTTGCATTTCATTATCTCTGTAGACTTGCCAAGGGAAGAACAGTCTTTACCACCAAACTCTGGGCTGGGATTCGTGCACTGACGAGTCCTCATTGATTCACCACCACCACAAGTCACCGTGCATGGGGTCCAATCACTCCATGGTGAGTAAGCACCATTAACTACAAGAAGGAACGTAGTGACTGAATACAAATCACCGTTACTGTAACTATTATTGAAAAGTACCATGTTGTTCATTATGTTATTCTTTAATGGAAGAGTACCTCTTAAGTGATGCTACTCCCTAGCAGACTTTAAAAAAATTAATTTAATCAATAATACACCAACAACCAGAACATTCATAGTAATGTTGCTTTTTGATCAAATGATGTTTATAGCTCTCACTATCATTGTAAAGCCTAATCAAGCTACAACTAGCAAATATGAGCTTTTGTAGCCAATAGTGGAACATGTTTTCATCGTACTTCATGTGTAGAAATGGCATAATTATTGGCCAACTTCTACTGTCCTCACTTACAGTCCAAAAGCAGGGGATTTTCAAATTACCGTAAAATTCCGAAAATAAGCCCCGGGGCTTATATTTTTCAAAGGCCCTTTTTGAGGGGCTTATATTTGGAGGGGCTTATCTACGGAAGGAAATTTGTGTTTCAAAGTCGATTGGGCTAGCCTTATGGTTGGAAGTAAATTTACCATTTTTGCTTTGTTTTACTTTGTATTTGAGGGCAATTTTCCAAATACAAGCCCCCAGGGGGCTTTATTATTTGGAGGGGCGATTTAATGGGGTTTTTTTTTACGTTACCGGATTGGGGGGCCTATATTTGGAGGGGCTTATACATAGGGGGGCTTATTTTCGGAATTTTTTGGTATTCTGTAAGAGAAGCCCAACCAGCCTCTAGAGACATTTGCATGGGACATAATTATTATCTTACCTGGGCATTTCTGTGGATTGCATTGCTGGGTGAGGAGTTCTGGTCCACTCCCAGAGCAGTCTTTGCCACCAAACTGGGGTGAAGGATTCGTGCAATTTCTTTGTCTCTTTATAGTTCCTCCTCCGCAAGTAACACTACAAGATGACCACTTAGACCACTCTGTATATCCACCATTGACTATATTGAAGTACAAGCCAGTCATTAACAAGGATAATGTTAACTTGAGATGATCGGAATTAAAGTAAAAAAAAAAACCCTAACATTTTTCAACCCAATGCATGGGCATTTTACCACTGTGGCCTTCAAAAAGTACAGTTTGTTGTTACCATTATGTGATTTTTGATCAATCTCACACTGTTTTTACTGCAGCTAGTGTTACACGTAGATATGACCAGTTAATCAACTTCTTTAGATCCAAACCATCAACTGTGAATGTAAGCTGGAATCCATGAGATGCTTGCAGGGTTGTCATTAAGAGCCGGGGACCGGGGATTTTCCCCCGCTACTAAGAGAGTGGCCCCCGGCTACTTTTATTGGAAAATAGAAGAAAAATGGAACCAAAAGAAATCCCTAGCCGTTTGATTCCCCGCCTACTTGTTGTGTTTACCCGACAACTTGAAATCTTAGTGACAACTCTGTGCTTGCCACTTTACATTAATTTACTAATCTTAGCCAGGCATACTTCAATTTTGGTTAGTAAAGCTAAGTAACAAAGACACCCATGGAACATTTTAACTAATCCGATAAAACTTTGACCAAGGTACAATATTAAACAAAGTCTTACTTGGGCAAGGGTTAGAACTGCAGTTTCTTGATTCAAATGCCGGTCCAAGCAGGTTGCAATCTTTGCCTCCATTTGATGGTGCAGGATTGGTACATTCTCTAGTTCTTTGTTGCATTCCACCACCACATGTTACACTACATGAAGAAAACTCTGTCCATTGTGTATATCCACCATTACCTAACATGAAAAAAGACCAGTCATAACCTAAAACGTTTTTTATGTTCTTCCTTGTTGTTTTTTTAATTTTTCAGGTTTTTTGGATGGTTTAGGTTATTTATTTAATAAATGAATAACCTAAACCATCCAAAAAACCTGAAAAATTCAGGATTGATTACGATTAAAATTTTGATGTTTTAAAATCCTTTTTGTATCCAGTGAATTCAGCCATACACTGTATCTCCTCACTCCTCAGTGCTGGGGCATTTGGTGGGAGAGACATGACTGTATAAATTTTGGGCCAAAAAATTTAGCACTTAAGATGTAAAATAATGCATGTTTCCAAATTACAAATAATATCAATCTGGTAATCAGGAAGTTACAGATGCAAATTTGTTTGAGTTGATATAATTTCTCCTTGTCTACCTGTCTTATCATATAATCAGAATGATCTACTTTAACCATTAAAAGAATGTTGGGTTTGATTTATGACACTTAGTATACAGTTCAAATAAGTCCCCTAAACAAGAGCAACACCAGAACTCTGTTTTTGCGAATACTCTTCAATTTGATAGGGGAAGTGTCTAGAAAAGTCTGTCGCAACACATTAATTTATACGATTCATTTCTTAGTAATACTGTAAGTATTCAAAAAAAGAACTTTAATAACCCAACTTCGCTTAAAAAAATCTGTAAGGTAGAACATCAGTATAGTATTACAGAAGTACCTGGGCAGGGCTGTGTATTGCATTCTCTGGACTCAGAATGTGAGCCCATACAAGGCTTTCCTCCATGCTGTGGTACCGGATTGGTGCAAGTGCGCATCCGCACCTGATTTCCAACACCACAAGTTGCAGAACATTCAGAATAGTTTCCCCATTCATCATAACCTCCATCAACTTTAAGACACAGAAATCAAAACCAATAATCAAATGCCAAGTTGTCAGCTATTCATTAGCTACAGCCTGTATTCATAAAGAAATTCAGTTTAATTCTCTTTGCCTACAATTTGACGACTGGTTACTCTAAAAAGAAGAGAAAAAATTATCCAAGAGAGTGCTTTTGATAAAAACATAGAGAAACCTGGGTTAAAATTTAACTCCGGGTTAGCGCTAACTGGCGTTCGAACAACTGGGCCCATACATGTGTGCAAGTCAGTCACTAAAGAGTACAAATCCAGACACAGTTATGTTGTTGTCCAGTCCATGTGGCATTGGTGTATTTTTCCAGATATGCCACCCCTTCATTACTCCCAGACTTTTGAATCATTAGATCCAATTCATTATGTGCCTCATAAAACAAACTTACTTGGACAAGGCTGTGTATTGCACTCGCGTGCCTCTTTGTAGTCTCCAGTACAGTTCTTCCCACCATAACGTGGTTGAGGGTTTGAGCAGGATCGCATGCGAGACTGGATTCCACCTCCACAGGTCTTACTACAAGCAGAGAAGTTGGAGTAGGGTGTAAAACCACCATCCACTGAAAGAAAAAGAAACAAACCATTAATTTTGTCATACTGAATAATGTACCACAATGAAAAGTTTTTGCTGACCTGTAACATATGCAATGCAAATGTACCAGACTTGATGTTGGCAATTAGCAATCATCAGATGTCATTTGTAGAGTGTGTTTTATAATTACATGCTTTTTTAATGTAATTATTTTCACCTTACAAAAACTTTAATGTCTTTTGAATTGAAAACCACCTAGAGTAGCATTAACCCTTTAGGTCCCAAGAGTGACCAACATCAATTTTCTCCTAACAACATCCGCAGATCTTCAAGAGTAAAGGTTATGAGAATTACTAAATTGGTTACCAAAGGGAGAATGCTTTGATCTTAAACCAAATTCTCTCAACTATTCTTAAAAAGAAATGTATGGAGATCAGTCTGGAGAATTTGTATGTGGATCTTAGGGCTTAAAGGGTTAAAGCATGATCCTTGGATTTTTCATTTTAGTTCTACAATTCCCATGGATGCGTATGGATCATGGTTTGTAGATGTAAACAGTTTACTAACTTTCACATACCAGGGTACCATGATCTCCACAAACTCTAGTAAAAAACAAAAACTCTTTTACCCAGCTTTGTGTTGGGATCATTCTGCGCCACTGAGCTTTTATAAACTCCAGCTTACCTGGACATTCTTGAGTGTTACATTTCCTTTTTTCGTAATCAGGTCCATCCTTGGAGCAATCCTTTCCAAAGTGTTGAGGAGGAGGGTTGGTACATGTCCGAGTTCTTATTTGTTCTCCTCCTCCGCAAGTTTCAGTGCAGTCAGACCAGTTGGTAAATGGAGAGTAACCGCCATCAACTGAAGAAAACAAAGTAGCAAAATCATGTTAATGTATTCCTTGGTTATAATTTATTATGTTATTAATCTAGTGTGAGGTCCAATTATCTAGCCATTTTGACCCAACAAGCTTGGTCAAAAAGGGATTTATTATTATGGCTACAAAGAGAACCTTTTTGTTGCAGAACCAATGCAGCCAATTCAAAGTGGGTGATATGGACCCATCTTACCCCACTGTGGTAGCCAACCTACTTGCAAAATGCAGGATTTGCCTCATCTTACCTGTGTCTAATTCAGCCATGATTTATACATGTAAAATTATAATAAGTGAACATTATTTCTCCATTTTATCCACAAAATACACTGTATCATTGTCTCTAAGGTTGGGGAGATCTTTCAGAGAGTGAAAATTAAAGGAACTGCTAATAAACTTCTAAATTTAAAAAAATCAACTATACTATTTTTTGGGAGTGGATGCTACATATTAACAGAAAGCAAAAACTTGCTAATATCCATACTTGGACATTCTCTTAAGTTGCACTCCTTTGTTTCCACAGGGCGCCCATAAGCCGAGCAATTCTTTCCCCCATGCTGAGGAGGTGGATTAGTGCAACTTCTTGAGCGAGCCTGAATCCCTTTGCCGCAAGTCACACTGCAAGCCTGGAATTCTGACCATTCGGTGTAATTTCCATCAACTGAAAAAAACATCGTAACAAAAGAATAAGTTGCTACATTGTAACATTTATTAAAAACCCTTCAATTACAGAATCCATGGTCTGGGAAGGTGGGACTCGACAAAAGCTGTATTGGATTTGTTGCCACAAGTTTCTGATGAAAGATCGACAGAGGTGAATATGAAAATAGAGAAGCCCAGGATTGTGCGTTAAGATAATAATCATTTATGCATAAGGCTTGTTCTTAACAAGGAAGTAATCAAAAGTGCATTTACAGTAACATTTTGCATACTTTACATAATTAAATATAATAATTACATGTTGTAGGTTAAATCCATTCTCCATTGAAGGCAGGTATTAACCCGGTTTGATTCATAATTTCTTTTGTCTTTCAGCCCTAATTATTATTCATACAAACTGTAGGAGACAGAGGAAATACTGGTTTCGCTGAAAAAAGAGTTTGCTTATGAATTGCAGAACACATTCAATGCAACTGCATTGTCTGTAAGGTTGGCAAGTTTAGGACGATGCAAAAAAAACAGAAATAAATTAGGTCTGGTAAGCTGCACTAGGATGACCAGAAGAAAAGTGATGGCAACATTTTATCCATTATGAACCATGATCTCTCTTAAGCTGACAAGATACATGATGTAAAAGTAATAAGCCTCCAGTCCAGTGTTACAACAATGACAGTTATTTCAACAAACACTAGTTACCAACTCACTTGGACAGTAGAAGGTATTACAGGCTCTTGTTTCATTTGCTGGTCCAATCCATTTACAGTCTTTTCCCTTGTACTGTGGGGTGGGGTTGTTACACTGCCTTGTTCTAACCTGTTCCCCTCCCCCACAAGTTGCACTGCAGGATGTATAGGAACCCCAGTTGCTGTACCCACCATCAACTGAAATGGCACAACACGACCGCAAGCAGGCAATAAATTTTATTAAACAAATAAATGACATACAGACAAACATGCACAGTCACCGCCTCTTTTATCTATAAGTTTTGATAATTTAAAACACTAACATTATGTATTTATACTGTCGACATTATTTTCATCATTTGAGCCACCAACCCATTATACTATTTTATTGTCCTCATGGTTCCTTGCACCTTATTTTTGATCTTGGACGACTTGGAAATCTTGTTTTTTTTCACAAGATAATTATCATCAATTATTATCAATTATTGTTCTGGGTACCCTGGATTCCCCAGGTCAAAGCATTGGGCTTCGTGTACGTGTAATTTGTCTCTGAGCACATGTACAACCTTGAATACTCACTTGGGCAAGGCTGTGAATTACAATCCTTTGTTTCCACTGCAGGTCCCAGTGCCGTGCAGTCCTTTCCTCCATTTGCAGGTGATGGATAAGTGCATGTTCTCACTCTTTGCTGTATTCCACCACCACAAGTAGCTGAACATTCCTCCCATGCACTCCACGCAGTGTAGTTGCCATTTACTAGAATGTGTAAAATGTAAAAGTAACTAAAACAATAACAAATGATGTTATAATGATCTCTCCATTTACCCACAGAGTTTGTCCATCTCTTGTAAATATAAAACATCAGTTGACCAAATTCTAATTAAATTTTGGTTCTGAGTATGAGCTGGAGTTTGGAACATGTCATTGCAAGACTTATGAAGTTCAATTCATATAACATACATGTACATTGCAGTGCACTAACTCTTACTTTAGAATCTCAAAATTGTATTAAGATACAATGTACTTATCAAAATTATGTCAAACATGACTTATAAGGGCTTTTCATGAAGTGCCAAAAGAAAATAAGAAAATTTTAGAATTTTGCATGGAATAACAACACGTGCATTTCAGTCAAAAATAATCTTATTGATGTTGCAATAATATTATCCAATTTGAAAGCTCAATTAAACAGCAAGAACACACAAATTAGGAAAAACACAAAAATAATTATAATACTAAGAAAACATTTGGAGTATTAGGTATTAGTTTTCTTACCTGGAGGCTTTGGAGCTATGATTAAAAAATTACAAAAGAAATTATTAGCCAGTGTTTAATCAAAACATCAATAATAATGATTTTTTAACCCTTAATGAAGAACTGAAGCCAGTCAGGGTTAAATTTCTGACAGGTGACAAAGCCTTAAAAACAGCTCGACATAATGAAATGATGACAAACAACAGAAGGTTGGTATTAACTCAACAGCAATTTAATGGAGACAAGTGCAAAATTACATTTTAATAATTATGTGATGATTTAGTCACTTGTGGTAGTTGAATCATTTCCTCGCAGGAATGACAACTGTCAAAACCACTCCCAATTTTTAAATTCTTCTGAAAAAAATCCTAGATTTCTCAATTTTGCACAGTCAGAACAAAATCCCACAAAAAATGGCACTGTATTAACTTACTTGTAAAAACAAGAGGAGGCTTTGGGGTTGTTGTTAAGACAACCTTTGGCGTTGGAGTTGTTGTCAATACAACCGGACTTGGCTTTTCTGTAGTCTGTGGCGGCTTCGTAGTGGAAGGAGGCTTTGGTTGTGTGACTGGAGGGGGCGGTTTTGTGGTAGAAGGGAGAGGTTTCTCTGTTGTTAAAGGTGCTTCTGTTGTTGGGATGGTTGTTGTTGTTGGAGGACATGGTGATGGGCACTGTGCCGGGCATGGCTGTGGAACAGGGCAGTTTGGAGGAATGACGCAAGGAACACATGGTTTCTGGGTGGATGTTGGTGGTGGAGCTGATGGGGTAGTAGTTGAATTTGTCGTTGATGTTGTGGTAGGCGGAGCTGCTGATGTTGATGTTGTGGTAGGCGGAGGTGCTGATGTTACTGTTGTAACTGGCGATGCTGTTGTTGCTAGGGTAGTAGTCACTGGGGGGCATGGTGCTGGACACTGTGTTGGGCATGGCTGTGGAACAGGACAGTTTGGGGGAATGACACAAGGTACACATGGTTGTTTGGTTGTTGGAAATGGAGTTGGTTTGCTAGTTGCTATTGTCCCATAATTCCCTCGCATACATTCTGGCCATGATCCTGGCTTGGGTATATGCACACCTAAACAAAAAAGCAAATATCGAATAAGACTCAAACCACATAGTACATGTGCCAGTATGGCAAGAATTGGTGGCGTGACAGTGGGCCAATTAATTCTAGCTTTGATTATGCATGCAAGAACCAGATCTGTGAATTAAACTTGGTAATCTGCCACTTCAATAATAAAAACAGATATAAATGTCATCAACTTAAAATAGTCACGCTAAAATAGGAACTCCAAAAGTAGAGAAATCACATGGAACTTCATGAGCTAAACAGCTGTCTAAACAGCTGTCTACTCTCTCTCATGCCTTGAAAGCCGTCATCTTTCTCAAAATTCTCAATATTCATTCCTAAAAATAGCAATGGTTATACAATAATAGCTAGCGATTACTATGTAAAAAAATCATAGGAGAGAAACGCAACAGATTTCAAGTATCTTTACCTCAAAACAACTGACTGCCGCCGCCGCCGCCATCATGTTTGCTACGAATTACCGCAATCCGATTGGCTTGCAGGCGTTATAATGATGCCGACGCGGGAAAATTCGCAGAAGAGTTGGGACACCGCGAGAGCCATAATTTGCACATCTCCAATAATACAAGCTAATACACCTTGTTTGCCTCCCAAAACTTTGCATAACCTTTGTTCTTTTATTTCTACTGGGTCTCTAGAGAAATAAATGACAATACTTATGGGGGGGGGGGGGGGGGCGAACAAGGCTGTATTATGGGAGATGTGAAAATGGCGAATTAGATCAGAGAAAACTCCCCGCGAACCCGGTGTGGAAAACAAGTGAGATAAGTCTCGATTACCTGTGCTGTCCTCGCATATACAAGCTAGTTCTCGTATTTGGTTTTGAGTCAAAGCTGACGTGTAAATATATACTTCATCCAGTGCTCCAACAAGGAACCTCTGACCCTTGTGACTTCCTATTCCTACTGCCTCGCTCCAGTCCTGCGGCAATAGTCCAGAACCTTTCCCTTTACTTGCCAGCTGTGTATTGACGTATACCTTCGCTAATCCTAGAAATGGAAAGAAAAATATGACACTTTTGTTGTCTGTCTTGTATCCCGAAAATAACCATAAAGTTGACCAATGGTATGATTTTTTTTTGGTTGGGCGGGGGGAGGAGGTATACGAAAAAATCTTAACTCTGAGTGAATCACTTGAAAACTGAAAAAGAGATAGAATGCGCAGTGTAAAATAAGTTTAAGGAAATTCCCCTACAAGAAAAACTGGACTACCAGGGATTAAACCAAGTTTAGGTTAGTGTTATCCTCGTGGTTTTTTGGTATTTTGAGTGCCTAAAATGACGACTGTCTAAGAGAAATATTAAGAAAATCGTAGATTGTAGGCTGCACTTTGTAAAAAATAATTTCTTTTACAATGATAATTTTGAATACTAAGAAAAAAAAAACTACAGAAAATGACGCTGTTGACGCATGTTTAATAAAGGCTGACCTTCTTTATTATCATATGTTCCAACTAGATGTGTCCACTGATTTGGTGGCACCACCACACGATCCGTAGTCACATTAAATATCACACTTTCGTCTAAGCCCCGTGCAAACCACCTCACTTTTCCATCGATTAGCTCAAAATGATAGTTTCCTGGCTTCCCAGGAGTAGTGACCGTATCAAATAATGACTGTCGTCCCTTTGTTGAGGCCAGTTTTACCCACACAGCAATGGTCACCGCGACGCTGGGCTTTGGAAAGAATTTCTTGCCGTTAAACGACACATTGCCAGAGGAAAATATTCCAGCCAAGCCACAGGCCTGAGGTAATCGCGATACGTCCACGTTGTTAAGTATACCGTTGTTTGCGTGTTTGGAAGTATCTAACACGTGTATGCCCGAATAGCGATCAAAGGGCAAGTGCAGAGCTAGGAGGGCTGCCACAGGCGGACCAACTTGCGGCACTTTCGTGGGCCGAGGTGGGACCACTGGAGGATGGACAGGCTTTGGTAAAGGAGCTGGCTTGTAACCCTTTGGTGGACATTTATTGGTCTTTGCGTCGTAAGGAACTAAGAGATAAAAAGAAACAAGTAAGGAGTAATAACAGATGATAAAGCGAGATAAGTTTCCCATTAACTTGCTCTGAGGAACGTGCTAACGATGCATTGGTGCATACGGGTACCAGTGGCATTTTGCACCTTCATGCCAATGCATACGAATACCGCAGTTTGAGTTTTGCGATCCCTTTGTGCAGCGCCCCTGTTTTCTTTGCTTCCAATTGCGAAATATTAAGCATTGTTGCGTAATTTCCTTCTATTTCTCCCACCTCCCGCTTCTCCCTCATCCACTTCCCTCTCCCCCACCCCCCTATTCTTACAGGATACCATCCCCTGTCCTCTCCCACTTCTTTCGGCTCTCGTGGCTTAGTCTCTTTGTTTCTCGCCTTTGAAGCGTTGGCGTGATATGGATTTTTAAACTATCTTTTGATGAATGCAGGGTGACTGTACAAGGCACAAGTGGTTTCTATGAAAGAGCCACTGGAACGTCCCTCCACGCTACTGCTGTGCATTTCTTCTAATACTGACTCTACTTTATTGTTAACCTTTTGCCAACTGGGGTAAGAAGAAAAAACTTCTTTCAGGTTGAGCATCCCCAGGCAAATTAGCACCGAACTTTTGTTACACTAGCAAAAATAAATTATCGTCCTTACCAATCAAGTGTAAAGATTGAGGAATGACTTGTCGTTTTTTGACCATTTTCTTGGATACCAAATGGTCTCTTAACGTAGCAAGTGGATCAGCAACCGGTTTGCGGAACGAAACGATGAAGTAAATGTTGATGATATAAGGACCTTTTAGCACGTAAGGATTCTTTGCTTTCCTGCAAAAAATACCATTCAACATAAACAAATGATAAAATTTGTACTCTTAAAATTATTTTGGAGGCTTTTGCAATTTCAAGAAATAATGCGATGTGTCCTATTCGAGCGATACTTTGTTACATGAAAACTATATCAGTGTTGCATTTATTCGTCAAGAAAGTTCAATACGTTACAATTTCACTTATTTTCCTCGATACCTTTATTTTTTACTAGCAGGTGTAGTCGTATTATAATTTTCTGCTGTGGCTAACTAATCAGTCATAGTCGTTATAGTCAGTATGTGGATTCCATACCGGATTCCAGTCAGACGAGCTGAAACAAAGTCTGGATGAACTCCTTTGTAGATACTGTTGAGCTGCAAAGTAATTGTAAACGTAGTAAACTATTTAAAAAATATTTTTCACCAGTAACCTATATCTTTAGGAACACTATATACACAGATACAGAGTGGAATTTTTTAATTATATATAAGGATGTTTAAGAGACTGGGTAATGAAGATCTTCTGCATGATGACTATCGTTGTTGACGATGAATATGACGATGATTGGGATAAAGATGCTGGTAGATAATGACGTGAAAGTTATTTTCGACCAAAATTCAGGATCACTTTTCTAAACTTCTCGAAGGGAAAAGGTGAACTACAATCCTTTATAGAAACATATATGGCTCCGGTGACTTCGGCCATGGCAGACCACAAAAGGAGGTATACTGAGGACGGTGCATTCGTTGTTCGCCTGACTGAAACACTTTACTTTTGTCCCTGTTTTCCCAACCTCATGTCTCAAACATTTTTTGCAAATGGTCTTCCAATTGTTCCTTTCTTTTCAGCACTTTTAGTTACGCCATATATTTAGCTGACAGCTAAGACACAATGTTAGCGTGCCAGTCAGGTTTAAGTAAAGTAGGGGGACAGAGATGCGACACAGAAATTACAAATACCATTGTTGTATACCGACTAATTAAACTACCACTTACCCCTTCCACGATCTCCTTGCTTAATTGCCTTAGGTAAACGAGGGATTTATGAGTCAATTGTTCGTACCAAACCTGTCCCAACAACAGCGATGCACAAGCGTCTTTGGTAAATGCTGGTATTCAGAAAATAAAAAGGAGTTTCTTTGGTTAATTGTCGGGAAATGAATTGAAGTTTTATTTGGTGGCGCACCTTGGCCGAAAACATTCCACACATGAATCACAGTAAGTTGATTGCCTTTAGCGAAATAAAACTCAAATCAAAATCAAACCCAAGAGTGCTACCAAACCAACCCTTTTTCATTCTGGGTATTTTTAATACTTTATCTCTCCATGTACCTGTAGGAAACGTAGGTCCAAGCGGTCTTGTAGGTTTGACTGTAGGCTGTGGTTGCGGCAGTAGGGGAGGGTGCGGTTGTGGCTGCGGCTTCGGCTGCGGCTGGGAAGGTGGTTGAGGCTGTGGCTGTGGCTGTGGCTGTGGCTGAGCTGGTGGTTTCGGTTGTGGCTGTGGCTGTGGCTGCAGCTGGGAAGGTGGTTGAGGCTGTGGCTGCGGCTGCGGCTGTGATGGTGGTTGAGGCTGTGGCTGCGGCTGTGATGGTGGTTGAGGCTGTGGCTGCGGCTGGGAAGGTGGTTGAGGCTGTGGCTGCAGCTGGGAAGGTGGTTGAGGCTGTGGCTGTGATGGTGGTTGAGGCTGTGGCTGTGGCTGCGGCTGCGGCTGAGATGGTGGTTGAGGCTTTGGCTGCGGCTGAGTTGGTGGTTTCGGTTGCGGCTGTGGCTGTGGCTGCGGCTGGGGTGGTGGTTGAGGCTGTGGCTGTGGCTGCGGCTGAGATTGTGGTTGTGGCTGTGGTTGTGGCTGAGTTGGTGGTTTTGGTTGCGGCTGTGGCTGTGGCTGCGGCTTCGGCTGAGATGGTGGTTGAGGCTTCGGCTGTGGTTGAGTTGGTGGTTTCGGTAGCGGCTGCGGTTGTGGCAGGGGCTGTGATGGTGGTATTGGATTCGGTTGTGGTGGTGGCTGAGGCTGAGGCTGTGATGCACATCCGTACTGGTTCGGCCCACTTGCCGCCGTTTGATTGTCGGGACAACATCCATACACAGTAACTTGGCAGTAGACATGATACACGGGAGGAGGCGGTGTGGGTTGAGTGGTAGCTGCTGGGGTGGTTGTGGCGGGAGGGCCTTGAGTGGCATTTGCTGCGGAAAAAAGCGGAGTAGCAAATAAAAGAACGGTTAAATGTAAAATAGACTACGGATTGGTGTATCGTCCTGCTGGTCCAAAGGTGAGAAAAGGTCAACCGTTCAACGTATGTAATAATCAAGTAAATACCTCCACAATTTGGCCTACTTCCGGTGATTCTTGTTCCTGGAATTTCTTGGCCAGTGTTCTGGTCCACGCACCAGCAGTCTTCCTTTCCACTGGAAGGGTAAGTATAACACTGAAGAGCTTTAAAAAGTCCAGAGGGCTCACATTCAGGAACAAACATGTCCATGGCTCCCATTGCTTTCGGTTTCTGCTGTTCCTGTTGACATTTACTCTGAGCGTAAGCGGGCGACTCTAAGACAGCCGTCTGCAGTGGATTCTGGTTGATTTGAGGTGGGCAGCCTTCCATATTGGGACCTTTAGCGAATGTTGTCTTGTCCTCACAACAGCCATAAGGACCCATGTTACAGTTGGGAACGTTTGAAACGTCGGCATGAACTTTTTCTGAAGAAAGAAAACATATAGGAACATGCAGTCGTTGTTGTGACGGATTCAATGATTTGAATCAAGACTATGACTATGAGGTAAAGTCGTAGTAGTATCTTGGAACAGAATATTGCGTATTGGACATTGAGCACTACCTTAAATTTAGTTAAATTTGACTTAGATGCTTATTCGTCAAGACTAAGAACCAACGAAGCTCTACTAGATTTGCCAGGAATTACTTACACGCACAGGGTGCGTGCATGTTATAATGCCATTCCATAACAAGGGGTGTTATATAACGTTGTGGAACTGTAAAACGCTAGCGCAGGAAGTTTTCTCGCTGCAATACTTTTAAATTTAAAAATCGGTGAATCAGCCCTCATATGCAGTGTAGAAGAACGCTAAGAGTGAAAAATCATGAGAAAGGTTTGGACTACAATTTACGTTGAATGGAGTTCTGATTCTCCCGAAAACAGCATGGTTGCCTGAGTAACAGCATTGAATTAGCTAGAGCAGAATAATATGCAACTGCTAAACAAAGGCAACAGATCTTCTACACTTACCGCATTTTGGTGTCGTTCCATCGCTTACCCTCGTTCCTTTAATCTCCTGGCCTGAAGAGTCCACACACCAACACTGTTTTCCGTAAGTGTTGTGTTCAAAACACTGATGGGGAACGTAGTTCCCTTCCTTGTCGCACACAGGCACAAAGATGTCAGTGATGAGAGGCGACTTAGCAATGTCTCTTTCTTTTTGACACTGGGTTCTTATTATTTCTGTGAATGAAGTTTTAAAGTGAATATATTATATTTTTAAACGTTCTTAAAAAAATTGGTTTAATTCGTCGCCCTAATGGACTTTCCGACTGGACTAATTGAAGGGTTCAAAATACAGCAAGTAACCTCTAATTAACCTTCCATCAAAACTATTTCACCTTAGGAAGTGTTTTAGTGTCATTTAAGGGGTGTTAACTGAATATGATTACCGAAGTTAGCTAATATGGGGAACAAAAGCCCTTCCTTTTCAGCCAACTCCAAATTTCGAATGCGATCAAATGGTTCGCCCCTGATTATTATGAAAAACTGCTGTCTGATTTATGCCCCTTTGTTATCAAAATGCGTTAGCATATGACAGGGGCGTAGCCAGCTTTTCGACTATTTGTAGGCCTGGCTGACTTCATTTCCACACATCCTGAAAATTGCACACATGACTAGTATGCACTAACCTAACGTACCAAAGCTTTGAGCTCTTCAGCTTTTTATCTCACCCCAATAAAGCATAAATTAATTACTGAGCTGTAGAGATATCAAACCAAAAACTTTGTAGGCCCGGGCCTACAGGTCTATGGGCTGGCCACGCCCCTGTATGTATACGTTAAAGTAATAACAACTGGTGTCGCAAAGCTTTTTTTCGAAAATAACTTCACCTTTTATCGTGTCATTGAGAGTTACTTCAACTTCGACTTCAAATTTTGTTCCATTCCCTGATGGCACTGCCATGTTAATCTTCTTTGGCCCATCATGCTGCTTTGGTTCCTGCTTATTTTCTTCCACTTTGTCAGCCACAATAGCACAGTTGGGTGTTTGCCCGTCTGACATACGGGTTCCCTGAATTTCCTGTCCGTCCTTGGTGACACACCAGCACTGTTTGGCAAATCCCTCGTGTTCAAAGCACTGCACATCGGCGTAGCTACCATCTGAACTGCATTCAGGTACAAAGGCGTCTTCCATTGTCTTTGCCATCTGCCGCTCCAGCTGACAGGATGTTTCTGCAAGAGTTTACAATAACTTTAAAAGCTGTTCTATGCTAAAGAAAGAAATGTGCGTCATTATCGTATTATGAACTAACACTGTAATCGGCAATGACATTTTAACATGGTCATGCCGTTAATTATTTAGTTGCACCCTGCAAAGTAGTTTGCATTGCAGTACGTTTGGGGTAATTGATCTAATTTGAGCAAATGAGTCAGTCGGATGTAATTAAAATTTCCCATGGATGCCAAGTTATACATGGTCACATCTTTTTGTAAGGCTATCAAAGGGTCCTAGAAGGAACCCATGTAGGCACGGGTAGAGAATATACAGTGACCAGGCTTCTCAGATAGAAAGACCCGCTGAAGAAAACGCGAAGCGTTGTCCCTAAATTGTGACCTCTTGAAAATCCGAGCATCTTCAGTTAATATCCCAGAGCAAGAATTCTATGAATACTACTATAATCAGAACCACGAAAGCTGTGCCCCGTTCTACATCTTAGGTTTAAATTAAAAAAGTGCCTTTTCCCTGACGAGTTTCGCCTGCAGTACTCCTATTATAATCTAGACGAGGGTGGGGCTGGCGTTTGTCGGAATATTTCGAAAGCAAAGCAAACACCAAAATCTTGTTTTCTAGACATAGCTCAAATGTAGTAAGTAAGTAATTATTTATAAGGCAACACTAAAATTTATCAGCACTTTTAATTTTAATGGTATTTTTCTATCTGTTTTACTCACTCTGATCGTTGCTCTCTTTAGCTGGCGCAGGAGATGGAGCTGGGGATGGAGCTGGATAAGACGAATAAGAAGACGGGGAGGGATATGGATAGGGGGCAGGAGAAGGATAAGGATATGGAGCATAGGCCGGATAAGGAGCAGGATATGGTGCATAAGAGGGAGAAGGGTATGGTGACGGATAAGGAGCCGGGTAAGGAGCGTATGCCGGATATGGTGCAGGGGATGGTGAAGGGGTCTGAGCTGGCCACGGTTCCTGGTCTGAGTATGTGTATCCGGCTGGCTGCTGATTCGAAAATTGTGTGCTATTCGAGAGGTAATCAGCGGTATTCTGTGTGTTATTCAACTGAGATACGCTATACCCTTGCGCCGTTTCGTTAATTCCACTATTATTAGCAGGTTGGGATCCATATGGATAGGCAGCGTTACTTTCCTTGCTCCATGATGACGCTTGTGAGACACTCAAGGCATCCGAGTAAGTTGTGTTTGCAGACTGTGAATCGTACTGAGATTGATTCGGAGACACTTCAGAATTATTATATGAATTTGACTTTTCAGCATTATAATATGATGTTGATGACAGTTCCGGGTTATTATTTGTAGTAAATCTATTTTCCTGTTGGGCTTGTTGTTGCTCTGATGAATAGTACGAAGAATTAGTTGTGTTTGCAGATTGTGACTCGTACTGAGATTGAGTCTGAGACCCCTCAGGATTATTATATGATGTTGTTGACATTTCAGGGGTATTATATGACCCTGTGGATGCATTTCTTTGAGACGAATAATAAGAATCCGCACTTGTGTTTCTATCTACAGTTTGCTGTGCCGTTGAATAATAATAACTGTTGCTATCTTGACCATAAGCCGTTGCTACTTGCTCTTGTCCGTTGTTTGTCCCGTAAGCCGCAGGAGTTACACTGTTGTTCTCGGGATTTGTCCCGTAACTATTGTCTGCATAATTATAGTACGAATTCGCGTCATATACAGCTGATCTTTGTTTCCTGGTATTTGATTGCTCCTGTGCAGGTCGTGGAATATAAGAGTATTCGGATGGGTTTACGTCAATTGTTACCGTCCGATCCTCTGTTGAAAAAAAACAAAATCAAATGTTTATAATAATTTGAAATTCTTTTCATTGCCTCCACAACAACCCAACAGCCATGAGATTAGTCCTTGAATCAGTCAGCATTTTTAACGGGCCAGTTCACAATTGTTTGCTCAGTACCCTGGCATATGAAAGGAACAAGGCTGAAGGTGACTTTGTTTACAAACCTTCCTGCTTTCACGTGCCAATCGTGTTACTCCCATGCTAATAAACCTGTGAACATGATTATTAACATGTAAAAAACAGGACGGTTTTTAACAAAACAAGGTCAACTCCAACCTCGCCTCTATTCAATGGCCAGGGCACTGAACACAATGTATTACTGAAGTAAAGATTTTGATGCAATTGGCCTTATAGAGGAAAGTAGGAGTACAGTGCGGCGGATCGATGTAATGCCACATCTACTTATGCGTTAGTCCCGTCTTTTTCATAACGTGATTATGGAATGAACAATTGAAATTGTAACCCCTCTATAATTGCCTGAAAAAACCGCAGCCGACATTGCTCGACACCACCACTGGTTTTTCCGCGAAATGCACGTCTGAGAAACGAGCGCAGTAATTCCATGCTGATGACGTGTCACTACCCTGATCTGGGTAGTGCTTCTGATTGGTCATTTCCCATAGGAAATTTGCTTCAGCTAATCAGAAGCACCACCCAGATTCGGATAGTGTCGCGTCATCAGTATGGAATTTCTGCGCTCGTTTCTCAGGCGTCATTTCGCGGGAAACCAGTGTTGGAGTCGAGACATCTCGGCTGTTTTCTCAGGCTACCCTTCTAATATAAAGATTACAGGTGTATGAATTTTGAGCTAATTGCAATTGGTGTTAATTGCTGCTGATTTAGAAACAAAATGATTTTTTCACTCACCAGGCCTATGGTTATATTCTTTAACATTGTCAAATAAAACCACCTCATCCCTTTTGACCTGTTTGTGGGATTTCTTGTGTCTCTTTGAGGGAGGCTTGTATCCTAAATAAGAAAAATGCACACGATACTTTGTAAGAAGGAACTTCTGTATAACTGATCCTTGATTGCGTTTCGAGCAATAACTGCCTGCGAGTTAGAATACTAATTTGATTTTTAAAGAGCTTCGTTACGTTGCGCGTGTTTTTCGCTGATTAGTTTTAATGCTTCTTTTCTAATTAGATAATTACACACGCAGTCCTTGCACAAATGTAAAGATTTGTGAAAATGCCTCATGAAAGGATTGATCAGTTCCCTCTTTAAATGGACAGAGATGTTTTGGCATCAGTTTTCGTAACTGGCTCATATATTCGGTTGGGACACCATTTAAGAAAAACCCTTACACTTCCGCCTTTGTTGTAAATTTTATTTAATTGCGCATCAAAGAAGCTGCCTAGTGCGTAAGGTGTTTATATATATTTTATATTTTTAGCCTTTACGGCCCTCGTGCAAGTCGAACTTAAAAGGGAACAAACTCCATATATATATAGCACCAACGAAGACTCGCATTAACCCTAAATTTTCAAGCTACCACACTGTAGTAGGGGTATCGTCACAAAATGGTGTTGTGTTCAAACAGAGGGTACCCGATATGAACCTGTGTACGTACAGTATTTGCTCCTTTTCACCCCATCAGACGCAATTTTGAAACCTAGACCGAGCGTAGCAGAAAGTTATGGTTATGTGCGAACAGAAAACCTGAGCACGTCCCCGTGCCCATTTAGTGCCCAAGTGCAAGGCCTTAACCTTCCACTTGGGCCGACACAGTAGGGAGTTTAAGAAGCGATGTTTTTGAGCGACGAACGTCAACCGGAAGTGGACTTTTAGATCGTCTCTATAAGAGTAAACACACTTATCAATACAAATTTAGTATCGTCAAGGCATATTATAAGATAAAAAGGTTCACTTCCGGTTGTCGTGTGTCGCTCAAAAACGTCGCTGCTTCAGTTAAACTCCCTAGTGCCCGAATTCTAGCTTTGTATTTTCAAATAAGGGTGTGTTCTCATAATTGCCCAGTGAGTACGATGCTCAGGTAGCGTGCTGGGGTGCCAAATGTGAACAGACGGCCTAAAACTCACCTGTCTTGTAAACCGAATTACTCCAGTGACCTCCACAAAACGAATCTCGTTTACTCTTGCATTCACTGGAGCACTTGTCTTCCGGAAGTTCTCCATATCTTCCGTAAGTGTTTCCACAGAAACAAAGATAAGAAAATTGAAGTCCAGCGTATTTAAATTCTAGTTCTTTGCACTTTTTAACACATGTCCTAGCATTCAACTTTGGTGTAAGAACACGTTGAGGGAGATCCCTCGGGTCACTATCTTTAAAACATCCTATGTAGTGTAGATCTGTCGAAATAAGACCAAAAGCACAATTCTTCAGTATTTCATTTGAGGGGTCTACTTTGTTAGGGATTATGAGCTTGATTAAGTGTTCTCAATCAGAACGGAGCTTTTTCCAGACCTGTGTTTCTTTAAATAATTTACCTTTTGTTTTAGCCATCCATGGAAGGATTGTCAAGAGAAGAGGGACCCAAGAGAGCCCCATTACTGTGTACTCGTCCTTCTTTTCTTCGTTATTTCCTCTTTACTTCCTGCGTAGAGAAGGTACTAAGACGTCAGTTAAGTTTTAAGTGACACCTAAGCAGGTACTGCAGGACAGTGCATATAGGTTTTAAAGCTATAATTGTATCATCTGCCCATTCCATAATGAGGAGAGACAAATGTGGTAAACTGACTTAAACTAAGAAGCAAAGTAACCGAACTGCATAAAAACTCACATTCAAGGTAAAGAAGCTGTAAAGCTTATTAAAGTTTACACTGGAAATTAGGCGCAAAGCACGACATTCCTTTCGGTGAACTGACATTTTATGATCCATAAATAAAAATATAAGTTTCTTAAAAGAATGCATGCATGATCAAGATATCAAGCAGTCAAGAGTGAGGAGCGCTGATGGGTGTGTTTTATGATCACCGGATATGAATCCCAGTCGTTTATTGACGTTTCTTAATAAAGTGAACTACTGTAGTCTGACTTTAAAAAACCTTTAGGAACACGCGCACGGAGAATCTTTACATTAATCATCGTAATTAAATCGCATCTGTACTGATCTTGGGATTAACCACTATGCGCATGCGCTTTTCTCATAATATCGAACTTAGAACGTTGGTTAGCAGCAGGCCCTACTGTAAAAAAAGTATTGATAAAAACTGCAAGATTAGTTCCATTAATTAGAACGTCACTGGGCATTTATGATCAACGTACGCTAACGGAATCTCCTATTTCTTCAGAGCAGTGTATCGCCTTTTTAATTCAGAAATCTATATATTGTTATTACTAAAGAAAAATAAAATTGTTTATCCGCCAAGTGTGAAAATTCTATAAGGCTTTTGTGTCCTAGTCAAAATTGTCTGAAATTCAGATCATAGAACTGTAAAATATCAAGTAGATGTAGTTCCAAAAAGACCCCCTACATGCTAGTGTACGCTCTAATGAAGGTCCTGTTTTATGTTGAGTTGTGATTAATGGAGCGCTTAAACAACTGAGTGTACTTATATTACAAAATGCATTCGCCCGCGAAATAAACAAATTTGCTCTCCAAAAGTCCGGAAAGTTATGAAATTTCTAGATATTAAAAAATCACGGATCGATACAAATTTAATACAATAGTTTAACATCATTAGGGAGGGCTTTAACTACAGGTAGTTTGTTGAAAAATCGTGGTTACATAAGACCAAGAAAACTTTTTATACGACCAGACATCCCCTGTCTATAAGTTATCTTGTGTTATTTTACATATGAGCGAACATCTAACAGAAATAATTATTCTAGGGATCAAATGGAAACCATTTTGCTTTCTGGAAAGGCAGAATAGTTTTCTCAATATTACTGGTAGAAGTAACGTCAGTAGTGGTAGCCACTCAGTAACAAGTTTCTGGTAACATCTATTTAAAGTTGACTTTACAGTCTTGGAAAACAGCTAGCCGCGGAGTTCTTAAATTTATTTAAAACTATTTAAAATAAATTTCCGTAAACATCACAGTTTTTTTTCAGCCATATAAGCTTGCTAATGCCTCACCGTTCATTTACAAAAATATATAAGTTAATACGTTACGACAAAGGGTAGAAATCCTTGTAACTCCACACTGATTCGATTCCCATTTTATCGACAAAGAACAAAGACAGCTACAAACCTTGTAAAATCCGGATTTTTAAATAACCAGTCAAAAGTCCTGAACTCAAAATGGCGCGGAATCGTTTGTTAATACATTTTAGTGATGGTAAATTTATCCCAGAAACCCAAAGGCTTTGCCATCGAAGGCCGCTATACAATGATCTGGAACTCTTTACGAATTAATGACATGCAAGAGAACACTGACTTGGCGGGTTCTCTATTCTTGGTGCTACCTGTTTGTAAATCAACTTGATTCTCCTCTCCCGGCTCTCTTGTGTAGTATTTTGACTTATACCGAGCTGCGTCCACAAAACAGTTACGTAGAAATCCTTATTCAGTACAGGAGTCCCTCAGAACTCCCCCATTACAAATACACTGTTGAAACACCGATAGATTGAGACCAGGAGACCTGAAACTTCGCTTTTAATTTGCTTACTATGTTGGTGATCACTGAACCTGGACTGATTTAGACCCGAAATTGAAAGGTGTACTACTTCTTCAATATTTTGAATTTTCGAGATTTGATCTCGATAATAGGACCTAGAATTGCTGCAAATAAATACTACACAAATATCCAAGTAGCGGCATTTAAAAAAATTCCGCGCGAAAATGATGTTTTGGGCGTTCTGCGCAAGTGCAATTTGAGCTCAACTTTGTATAAAACCAAGAAATCTCTTAATAAACCTGATGGAAAGGAACATGACTATATCTTTAAAACGTGTTCTGAAAATTGTAAGATACCATTTTTAATCTAAATAAGGCACTATTTTAATCAGAGTAAGCCCTTGTGGCTAAGCCATCAAGATGGCGGTGGAAATTTAAACAGCGGCAGGTTAAAGTCAAGAGTCAAAATTCATAAAATTTAAAAACCGGATTGAACTGTTTTTATGTCGGAATTTCGTTCAATTAACTTGACTAAGTACTTGATTCCTTAAACTCAGTTTAAAAGGAAGCCTTATTTGGATGAACTACTCATAGCGTTACTTATTCATCACTTAAAAAGAGAAGAATCTTCGAATTCGTTTCGAGAATTGAATTGTTGACAAAATACTTTCAAGTATAACTTCAGTTTTCTTTATTTTTCCCTTTACCCTTCGGAAATCTTTTATTTCTCATTTGATTTATCATGTAAAACTCAATGTGAAGGGGAAAAGCGTCACTGAAAAATTTTTAAGAGTTTTTAGGCTCTAACCCCTTCAGGAAAGGACCGAAAAGCCTTTGGCTCCAATATATTAGACAATAGATAACTAAACAGCTTGAATTGTATCTTACCTTTTTTTGCAAAAGCACTGACTTCTGTCCTAACGAAATCCCAGGTTTTGGAACGCAACTCTTCCACAAACAATGTATTTTCAAGTCATTTGAAATCAGCTATAAATTCCTGTTTTGGTCCTCGATTAAAGAACTTGCGTTCCTTAGCGTTTTTTTCCTGACAACAAAAGAAATTCAATATTAATGATATCTTCGAAGAGTTTTGGTTGCCATCTTGAGGCAGGGCTATTAAACATTTATACTTCGGACCAGTGAAATCTTTTNCTTATTCATCACTTAAAAAGAGAAGAATCTTCGAATTCGTTTCGAGAATTGAATTGTTGACAAAATACTTTCAAGTATAACTTCAGTTTTCTTTATTTTTCCCTTTACCCTTCGGAAATCTTTTATTTCTCCTTTGATTTATCATGTAAAACTCAGTGTGAAGGGGAAAAGCGTCACTGAAAATTTTTAAAGAGATTTTAGGCTCTAACCCCTTGAGGAAAGGACCGGAAAGCCTTTGGCTCTAATTTATTAGACAATAGATAACTAAACAGCTTGAATTGTATCTTACCTTTTTTTGCAAAAGCACTGACTTCTGTCCTAACGAAATCCCAGGTTTTGGAACGCAACTCTTCCACACACAATGTATTTTCAAGTCATTTGAAATCAGCTTTAATTTCCTGTTTTGGTCTCTCGATTAAAGAACTTGCGTTCCTTAGCGTTTTTTTCCTGACAACAAAAGAAATTCAATATTAATGATATCTTCGAATAGTTTTGGTTGCCATCTTGAGGCAGGGCTATTAAACATTTATACTTCGGACCAGTGAAATCTTTGCGGTCATGTAAGAAAGACCTGCTTCCACCGACCTTGCCTTATAATTTTTATTGAAAACAAAGAAAATAAAACAAAAAAATAAAACCATTGTTTAAAGAATGAATATGAAGACGTAATGTCATTTACAGTTTACAAGTTAACATGGGTCATTGCTATACAGTTTCGGTACTTAATGGGTCGACGCGTTTCTTACTCGTAAAAAGCATAAGAAAACGATTAAACTATCACTAATTTGTCCTTTGATCTTCTTATTTTCACTCAAAGTTTTCCGATTTAAAAGTGTAAGTCAAAATAATTAAACAAAATAAAATCTAGTCAACTCAAGATGGCGAAATGGTTCCCTGAACTTTTTTTTTAAAGTTTACAGATCATTTAACGAACACTTCGATTAGCACGTAATAGTTGAATAACTTCTTTGTTTGTAGGTTAATTAAGGTTGGCACATCGATTGTTGTTCATGACGTTTTTATTACATACTTCTGATTGAGTTCGACTTCAATTGACACGCAAATCAACCGTTAAATCATACAATGAAAAGAAAAAACAACAACGGTAAGCGCATTGACAGTCTCGAATCTAAACAACCATAGAGAGAACGATCGAGGCTCGGAAGGGACAGGGGGTACAACCCTCTCGCCTCTCGTACCCTTTCACTCATGTCTCCCGCCCCTGTTTTCTTGACTTCCTCCCTTTGAATTTTAGGCCCACGCAAATAATTTACAGAACAAATGTTGAATATATGAATTTCATGTATTCTTCCTTGCAAACAGTTTTACAGTATTGATGTCATGTTATTCAAGACGTGTTGGATATTTTGCCACACTTTTAACAATAGCGCATAAATCTATCTGCCATTTATGGATAATGGTATTGAATATACAGCAGTCCCCACCCTGGAGAGATACATGGTGGGGGAGAGGGTAAGGGGGATTTAGGTCATTCCCTTTTTCTTTCTTTACACAAAATCGTACTTTAGAAAACGAAGGAGACCTGGAAACAACACTTTTTAGTTTGCCAACCTCGTTATTGTTGGCGCTGAATGGTTACCATGGCATTCGCTACCTAACAAGATTCTCCTGTATCCAGCAAATTTGAATTTTTACGTTGCAACCTAAGAGGAGAGTATTCAGAAATTCAGAGGCTTGTGTTGTCTGCCTGCTGTCGCACGCGCGCGCCTTTCAGCTATCTTAACGAAGGAGACTGTTTCCCAGTCTCTACTTATTTGTTATGAGGGACTCTCTCCACAACTGAGGCCTCTTTGTGTCGTAGGAAGGCTGGGGAGAGGAAAATAGAAATCGCGCGGGGTCGACGATGGGAAGGGGAAAGAGACCCGCTTGCTTGCTATTTTTCGATTCTCGCTATTTTCATCAGTATACCCAGCATTAGCTTCCGTGGAGGAGAGCGTATGAGGGATGCAAGCTTTGGGAAAGCAATGCGGGCCGCAAGAAGGCTGAAAAGGACGAAGGAACAGTGTCTAGCCTTTTTATTTAATACAATGCGTTCTTGTCAAATTTGTACCAGGAGCGAATGGAAATAAGTTCGAGTATAGATCTTCTAGTTTTATTTGAAGTTCAATAACCATCATTTGCCCTCCCCCATCGCCATAACGTTAAAGAGGGATATAAACAACCTTGTCACCTGGGTTATTGCCCATATCCTAAGGGAAAAGCTAGGGGGCCCCGGGGGACGAGGTTGATATAATTATAAACACAACAACTAAAATCAACAAACTTTCCAAAAACAAAAAAAGCTTATTTTATTCAACCTTTCTTCCCATGTTTAACTGATGTACATATTCTTCAAGTTCGTACAGTTTTCAGTGGCAACTGATGAAATCTCGAGTCCAGTTGGATATATTCTACGTTGATGGAGTACATTGTGTGCCCTGATTAATGGTCCTTTTTCAACGCTTTATGTCCCTGCAAAGCACAAAATAAACGAATGATAGAAATTATCAAAGTCAATGAAAATGGCAGAAAAGCAACAGTGTAGTTAACAGAGAGAGCGAGAGTATGATGTGAAGTATATGAGCGAGAGTAGATGACTTTATTCTGACAGCCGTCTTCCAGCCTCGTTTCCAGTCCTCCTCGGCCAGTTCCGATGTGACTTTGCACGTCAAGAACAATTCGCGCTATCGCGCCCGGTTCCAAGCCTCCTACGTTCACTTGGACAACGCGAATTGGCCTAGAAAGGAGGCTGGCATTCCTCTGTTATTGAATATATTTTAGTTTAATGAAGTTTGGGCCGGGCGCGGATGCTGCGCAATAAGAACAAGAAGACCAAAACTCAATTTTCTTTAGTTTTTACTTGTGCCTCTGAACGGCCAAATCTATTCCAGTCGAAAAAATTATATTGGCGAAACGACGTTTTCCGCCGTTTGAGGTCTAAGACAAAAGCTTTTAAACAACGATCAAAGTAGTTGTCCTCACTACCCATGATCTCCTTAGCAATATGCGTTTAATACAATTAGAGAAGAAATGAAACAACAATCCTGTGTACAACTTTTTAGTAATAGCTTTAGAGCTACCTTGTGTTTAGTAGCGTTAGCTCGTGGTTTTAGGTCATTCAGAGCTGCTTTTAATAAAGGAGTAATCTTTACTCCACCTGGTGGATCATAGCCTATAGAAAAAAGAAAAAAAAGAAATCAATACTCTCAGTGAGTTTATAACGTAACTTTTCAAAGAGAAAAATTCAAGAAGAATCAACTGCAGGATGTAATTATATGCCACAGTCGCTAGGGCTCGCCTGCGGAGCACATCATCACAGGCTCCAACTAAACTCTGCTGTGATTTTGGAAAGGGCAAAATAGTTTGGCTTAGCTGAACCATTTGTCCAATATCTGAAAAGAGGAACAATAATATTATACAAATACAGTGTGCGCGTCTTCTAAACGTTATTAGCTTAGTAACATGTGAAGAAACGTATAGGACGTACTTATTTTAAGGCTTACTACAATAGTTTTCCTACTTTTACAGAGTACAAATTCTTTAGTATTACACTTTGTTTCATAAGTCAAATCAGTGCCGTATGGATTTCACGCTCCTATATTCTCCTCCGATAGTCGAGATCCCCACCTCAAAATAAATTCTCGACAATCAATTTGCAACTCCGCAGTTTTCGTTCTCCACTGATAAAAACAAGATGTCGGCCTTTCAAATTCGGCGATTGTTTTGCCTGAATTTCAGCCGTCTCATCGAGTCGCAAAACCCGGAGAGATTCTCTCTCAGAAGCTTGCGACTCGAGGAGACGGCTGAAATTCAGGCTAGCAATTGTTTTGCACGCAAAAAAATATATATATCGAGTTTAGTTTCCCTACTGCACCTGTCTTATAGATTGAGTTGCTCCAATATCCGCCACAATGTTCATCCTTTTTGCTTGCGCACTCACTGGAACACTTCCATTCCGGTAGTTGACCATACCTTCCACGTTTGTTGCCACAGAAACAGAGATACGAGAACTGTATACCAGCGTATCTGTAAAACAAGTCCTTGCAGTTCTTCACACAAGAGCTGACTGTCACTTCCCGGTCATGCAATCGCTGTGGTAGGTCACGGGGATCGGAGTCTTTATAGCAACCTACATATTCTGTTGAACACCAAGTCAGTACTGAAAATTGTCCGAATGACTGCTAGCCTG